ACGCAGGTGATGTACCCGGATGTAGCGATCCTGCGCCGCAGTGGTCGCTCAAGGTCGCCCACTACGAGGGGCATCTGCTACCGCATTCTGCCGGCGATATCTCTCCCAGAGCCGTGAAATGGTGGTTTGGTGAACATTCATGCGTCGGACAACTGCACGTTAAGACTGGCCAGCTTCAAGCAAACAAATGGCGATATGACGGTTGGATTCACTTAGACGTGGCATGTTGCGTTCGTCAACAATAACAGTGAATAATCGATCAACCTTTTATACCCATTATTGAGACTATCTGATCCCCAACTTTCACGTGTATTGTATATACACGTGAACTGTGTATTCTGTGACACTACACGCCGAAATTGAAAATCATGCTGTTAAATACGGGTATTTTACGGATGGGGCGTTTTGTTGTGATGTTTCAAAACATAAACACCATAGGACTCATAAACAGAGCAAAACCTTTTGTAAAATGAATCACGTTTTAATTCATTGCTACATGAAATTGCTATTTTCATGATGCGTTTCTTTTTTGGGAGAGTATATTTCTCATGCCAGTTTCGCTGTTGTTATCAATATCTGGAGATTAGAGGTGTTTTACTGGAATGTTTATTACCGTTTCTGGATTGCATCGTGCACGGGTAATACCATGGCATTAACAAAGTAAGGCCTGTAATCTTCGTTTCACTGCAATACATTTTGAACCGAAGCACTGGGGTCTTGGCAATAGTTAATTTGAATTATCTGAAGTGCACCTCAATGCCTCGTTGGCTTGACACTTGATTTTATCATCTGAGTCATGTTTTATGTCACGTACGCGATGTCGAAGTCTAAGCATAGTTTTCGAACATGTAGTTGACGTGAGGCAGTTATGCTCCTTTTATTCGTCATTACAGTTTACAACAACACTGTATTATCATTATAATGATAACGGGGGCGGTGATATCTGTAAATATATTATCGTGCACGGATAACCCAATGGTATTATCAAACTAAGGCCTGTAATTTTCGTTTCACTGCAGTAGAATTTGAACGATGCACTTGTGTCTTTGACAATAGTTTATTTGAATTTTTTGAAGTGCACCTCAATGCCTCGCTGGCTTGACCCTTGAGTCTGCACTAACCAGTGTTTCATGCCACGTACGCGATGTCGAAGTCCAAGCACAGTTTCATATATTTGACGTTTTATGCACGTTGTGCTCATCATTTTTACAGTTTAAAACATAACTGTATTGTTCTATTAACAGCAGCGTATGTGCATTTTATTAAGATAGTACATTTGCACTATAGAGCCATCATTTCGTGGACATGTAGCTGTCGTGACTGGTTCATGTGTACTCCATTTACTTATGATCATAGATGAAAACTACATTGTATTGTTACAGCAACATGGCCACTTTAAGTATAACAATGACCTCCGAGAATGCCCCGATCAGATGAAAATTAATACATTTGGTATATTGAGTAAATCTTGTCAGTACCACTGGGACATTCTTGACATATACAATGTATATCAATATGAACCACAAACACATTTTCAAAAATGTAAGACATATATGCTGTAAATCTGTTGTATGAAGCCTGGAAAGCATCTGATACAAAATGAATTAGTATAATGTTGAATCTCAAAATCACAAGCAGCTGTTTTGTCATAATGTTTTATTTTCAACTTTAAGGGCCACTACCCGACACCAACAATTTATAGAAATGTTTTCTGAATGTTTCATCGTTAATGGTTGATCTTTGACCGGCACGGAACATTTGATGGAGCCACTTAAATGTCAACAAAATCTTAACATAACCAAAATCCCGTTCTAATGCATCTTTTTCACGATGTTTCAACCTTCCTATAAACATTAAACATAGTTATCAATGAGCCAAATATTTGATAATTGTTGAGTGTTAAAAGAACTGATATAGCTATGGCATGATTGATAAACACTATGTATTTTGTCTTAAATACTTGCACCTTTATACACCTCTTAGTGGCCTCAACATGTCTTCTGTATCTCAGAAGGTATTAGGTACTTCAACAAGTTCTAGGTTTGAAATATGTACACGGTGGCAAACACATTCATTATGTTGACAAGGACATCTTATAACATCAAGATATGTGACAACTATACCACCTGTTTTATACTACTCGCTCGGTACTTGGTTTTCTTGTTGAAATTTGTCTGGGGAAACAGACGATATATCATAGCTAGGTACCATGTGTATGACATATCAGTCTTAAGATACGTCTTACTGAGGGCCTCTTGCCATACTAATGGCGATGACATGTACTCACATGAGTGTGAAAAGGCCAATAAACAACTGGCGTTGAGAATAGACAGACGCTGATTGCATGGGAGTTCCAGTTCAGAACTTGTCATAGACTCCATGTATTTCCCTCTCGAAAGAAAGACAACATTTTTGTAACATCATGTAAACGTACGTCGAGTCCACCCTGTCTTTTACAGACAGCTTCACATCAATATCATGTGATGTTGCACAAAGCAGATGTGACATTGTTGAGAGATTATACAATGTTTCAGGCTGCAGGTGTTATACATATGTTCATGCTTTGTTTCTTCTCATGACGTCACTCAATGAAATGTTATGTTTGTTTTTGTTTACGAAAGAAACAATATACTGTAAATGATACAAGACGTATTCATAATTGTCAATTATCATATGGATAGTTTCACATGACCAGGTATTTTGTCCGCACATATGGTATCGATGTGGAATGCAATGTTGATATCTATCAGAATTCAGTCAAAATTTGTTGACAACTTGACGTGACATTGTGGAAGTATTCTCTCCTAGTTGAACTCTAAACAGACTTGACGTGGTTCCTACATATATAGCACCTTTACACTTTTAAGTAGATATTTGCTATACTACAATGGAATACATCTTACTTGAAATGGATCAAAGTTATGATATGACACGATGAAAGAGACACATCAGAATAGCTTTGCATAGCAGGCCTACATGTAGCTACTGTAGCGTCTCTAAATCGTCCCATAGAGGTCGAAGTTAAGTGCATTTATCATCTTGCAGTCCAAATCATTAGCAACTGCTTTGATCCACGTCATTCACTGACATTCGTAATTCTGACAGAATATATGCCGTAAACGATATCAGTCTATCTTGGGTTACTAACAAAAACTGAAATTAATAGAACACACGGTGTGACAAATATTCACCATGACTAAGACACTCCCCCTTTCAATCCTCCCAATCAGATCTACTATACTGACGTATGTGTAACTTGGACTTCACATATAAGGAATGCGCTTTGGTCACAATAGCCACTGGCAGCAAGAAGCAGGTATTTGTCAGTATGAAGTCTCATGTAGAAGAATCGTTAATGTGGGGTAAGCATATTATAATCAACATGTGTGTTGTGAGATCTTGAAACGTATAAGCAATGTCATTGGTTTCCTCTTTACATATCTCATTATATCAAGACTGTTCGATCGCAATCTGAAACTATGTTACATATTTGAGTGTAGATGTGTCCAGATAGATATTCCTTGTGATGCTCAATCAGTTACAAAATTCTGTAAAGGTCATTATGATGTTTTATTGATGAAAACTATAATACCCAATCATCACGCCAATATATGTTTACAGGGTTAATCATGATTGCAGTGATGTTCAGCAGCCAATGTATGGCAGGTAAGTGATGCATAAACACCATCAATATTGTCAATTTCAGCATCTTATACGTAAGAGTATTGCCTATCAAGTATGTAAATGTCCCCAATTCGTAGTCCATTTCATGTCTCAGACACAAATGAGATAAATAAATGAGATGGTAGTGTGGGTCTGTAAATATCATTGAAACATTTAGTGTCAAAACTATGTTTGAGTATCTAAGTTGTAATTTCGAGAAAAGCAAAATAAAATAAATCCATGTAATTTTTGTGAGCCAATGGTTACTGGAGACAGGATGACTTCTCAACGTATCGAGATTGAAAGTGTATCCTGGCATAACATTATAAGCGCATTATACCAAAGGCAACTTTTTCAGATATTCTTGAGTTACGTCTAAATATGTGTATTTGTAGCTGATGTCTGCGACCCTAATCCATGCAAAAATCAAGGAACATGTTCAGTTGACGGCGGAGGTTCAGCTGAATGTGCATGCGAGCCTGGCTGGGGAGGAGGCACGTGCGAAGCTGGTAACATTATCAGACAATTCATACTGTTTGTATGCATGCATTTATGATGGCGGTTGAACAGGCTGATGCATATGTGTGACAGACAAATATTAATCACTATTAATCTACCTATGGTCTATCAATATAACGCTCGTTGATGGGAATAATTCAATGACTGTATAGCTTTGAATATCGGCATACGCAATATATGAATACACAATGCATTTTAATAAGTGATCAGATATAGCATATGTACTTGAAATGTTATGTATATTGTTTATAACATATGTTAGATTTGGGACTACACTTTCTTATTAAAGCCGCGCTGGCTGAATGAGTCACTATTCTGACTTTGTGTGCTGGTGATTAAATACCTGACTAATGGGACTCAACCTAACAAAAGTACCAGAGTCTGCACTTTACAGAGAAAGCGTAACCCAAAATATAGCATATGTTCCAAGTAGTTACTGTATCGTAAAAACTTTATCGGATTTCATATTACGACACCCAATAAAAGTGATTATATAAATGGCTGAACCTGCGATACGAGCACTTCTTCTAGAAATATAAAACAGATTTTTTAGTTTCTTTGAAAACGTTTGCTGTAGACGTATCCATCCTTTTAATCTATCCGATATTCCTTTAACTTCGAATGCATTTTGTGTATAAGAACCATGAAAGGATAGATATTCACAAACTATGTCATGTTATCATGTGGCACGTTGTGATCAACTTACATTTAAGGGTTTGGCCTTGATCCGTTATAATGCGTTATAATGATATTTCTGAAAGCTTCCTGTGCAAACGACCCATGTCAGAATGGAGGGACCTGTGACGATACAAATACGCCAATTGACTGCGCTTGCGACACCGGCTACGGTGGAGACAGATGTGAACTGGGTACGTCCTCTCATGTTGGTTTATTAGAAACTACTTGGAAATTGTTATCATTATCAAAACAGTTGTCTAACTGTCGTAGCCTAGAGTCATTTTACAAGATTTTGCCAACTTCTGAAACAATTTAGCAAGGACACCAGCCAAGGGATCAGTTTCCATATCGGTGAAGACGTATACGGTGATGGCACCTTTCCCCCATGTCAAACAGTTAGATTTATACGAAATATGTGCGAACTATTACCTTGTTATATTTTGTCGCTGTGTGTACGTCAGCACTTCCTAGCGTCATGACAGACCAGGCAGGATCAAAACAAACGTGGAACATAGAATATCGATAATTGATATTGGGCCGTTTGAGCTAGCAGATAGATGCACGGATTGCCTCGAAAGCCACGTCAAAACAACGTGTTGTCATTACCCAAACATGTATTTACGTCTTTGTCTAAAAAGGCAGGATTGAGTGTTTACTTTCTTGAGTGTTGTCGCTGTTCGTCTGAAAACAATAATAACAGCCCTGATAAAATCTACATAAATTTATTTACTCATGAACATTAATCAGTTTTGTAAAATTACAAAACAAATATGCTGTGTTCTCTGCTTTGAAAACGAAATTAAGAAAACACATGTAAAGGTTTTCACACTGAGTTCTAGCTTTTGAATATGAAATGCATCATGATTGCTATAATACAGCTTCACATTTAGTGTCGTTTTTACTTTGTAAAACTCGCTGAACCTTAATTACATATTTATTTTCAATTCAGCTCCACACCGCCAGAGATGACAGCGATTGTGAAAACAGTGGAACTTGCAAGACAGGCAGCGAGCCGTACATGTGTGTGATTGTCCCGCAGGTTATGGAGGCGACACCTGCGAACTTGGTGCGTACTGTAGTCACGTGATATTATTACCCTGTACGACTTTTTAGGTTCGTATCAATATATGTCAATCTAAATTTCAAAAACACATTGTCGTTCCCTGTCATCTAATATATGGCGTTGTATTCCGGGCTTTGGAGGGGACCTATGTGCTGACGGTAAATATATATGAATGTACAATGTCAGAGTTCCAGTAAAATGACTCTCATATTCCTCTTTTGATCATCGTCATCTTCAAAGACCAATATTTTGCGAGTAGTAAACATCTTTTAGACCAAGCTGACATAAGGATAATAAGTAATCTATAAAGGGTTTGTTACCCTGGTTTCATTTGTCTACATGATTCACAGAAATCTTACCAGTCCCAAATACTGAAACTGTATGAAGATCAGGCTAAAGAGCACAAAATTGAAACATAATTCATACGTGAAATTCTTATTGTATGTGTGTTCAACTTAGGAAGAAGAGGCGAATTATTATTGTGTTATTTGTCACTTTTGTATATCACGTTAACACATTTGGTTTTGTTACATATTTTTTACTCAGGGCGGTAGGCTAGCCTAGTGGTTAAGGCGTTCGCTCGTCACGCCGAAAACTCGGGCTCGATTCCCCACATGGGTACAATGTGTTAAGCCCATTTCTGGTGTCCCCGCCGTGATATTGATGGAATATTGCTCCAAAGCGGCGTAAAACCAAACTCACTCACTCCTTATTTTTACTAGATGAATGATGAAATAATTACCAAGGGTCTCTGTTCCCCTGGGATCTGGCACCAACAATGTAATTTCATTTACTTTTGATTTCACGTGACAACGACTTTACTATCAAAACACAGATTTGTTCAGATATTACTGCTGATAACATCAATAACAATGTATAGTTTTGGAAATATATGTACGTCATGACATCATACTTTTGTTGATGGTAACCTTTAAGCAACATCATTTGGTTCTATATTTTAATCCTAAAATACGTTTCACTATGCATTGTCTAAGGTTTACCTGTTAAGTCCATTTTATGCCTTACGTCTGAAGGAGTATTGTACTCATCATGATATACATGATAAATAATAGATTCTTTGATTCTATCGATTACGTTTAGATACCTGATACTCCGTCGTAAAATCACTCATTCAGTTTCTTCCGCTGTACGTGGTACGTGTGATCTATATGAATTCGAAAGCATTTGATCATCCCAATTATATTTTTCAAGCTCCAAAGTGCACAGATTCGATGAAGTGTGAAAACGGTGGGACCTGTAAAGCTGACACCTCTGGTCAGCATATCTGTTTCTGTGCTCCGGGCTTTGGAGGGACCTGTGTGCTGACGGTAAAACTATGTTCTTGTACACATCCAATAGTTCAGCTTAATGTATTGCTGAACAATCATTGCTGACTGAAAAAACTCTTCTCGCTGACTCTGTCGTAACATCACTCATTCAGTTCCTTCCGCTGCACACAGTACGTGTGATCTATGTGCATTCGACATTATTATATCCTGTGTGCTGACGGTAAGGATGTGCATGTACAATGTCAGAGTTCCTGTAACATGAATAAATGCCCCCCATATTCCTCTTTTTATCATCGTCATCTTCAAACACCAATATTTTGTGAGTAGTAAACTTCTTTAGACCAAGCTGACATGAGGATAATAAGTAATCTATAAAGGGGTTTGCTTCCGTGGTTTCATTTGTCTACATGATACACAGAAATCTTACCAGTCACAATATTGAAACTGTATGACGATCAAGCTAAAGAGCACAAAATTGAAAAACAATTTATACGTGAAATTCTTATTGTATGTGTGTTCAACTTAGGAAGGAGAGGCGAATTATTATTGTGTTATTTCTCACCTTTTGTATATCACGTTAACACATTTGGTTTTGTTACTGTAACTAGATGAATGATGAAGTAATTACCAAGGGTCTCTTCCCTGGGATCTGGCACCAACAATGTAATTTCATTTACTTTTGAATTCACTTGACAATGACTTATTATCAAAACACAGCTTTTAAGGTGGGAACACAATTTATTTTTGCTCTGATGCCAGGCGACCTGATGTTCTGTTGTCTGCAATTCCTTGCAGGTTTCTATGTACATGGCTACAGGTATTATTTCACCTACGTTACTCTATGTATATGGAGAATAGATCTCACTAATAATAACAGTGTTCCGTTTTCACGTTATTTATGTGACCTGAGTAAAACACAAATCCTTATAACATGTTTAACATTATTGGTGTCAGGAATACATTTGATATTATCAGATCTATGGAGCTTGCTTTGGGTTCTGAAGATTGAATGTTAAACATGTTTCATTCAGCACGCTATGTAACTATTGCAGGTTTATTACATAAATACAAGCTGTCATGTATTTAAAATGAGTAAACTTTGTATTTGAAAGTTTCCTGTGACAACAACCCATGCCAGAATGAAGCATCCTGTGAAGTTGAAGACGGCTCCATTGAGTGTACATGTAAAACCTGGCTGGGATGGAGACACACATGTCAGCTCGGTAGGTCTTCTCTTGTTATGATAATAATGATTAAATGCATCAATAACGTATCATCTAAATGCACACCTGCAACAAACCTCTTCCACGCCTGCAAATTGAAGGGCCAGGTTGTTTGTCGTTTTACATTTATGTTCTGACGTTCTGATGTTCCTGCACATAACATCAATAACAATGTATAGTTTTGGAAATATATATACGTCATGATATCATATATTTGTTGCTGGTAACCTTTAAGCGACATCATTTGGTTCTATATTTTAATCCTAAAATACCTTTCAATATGCATTGTCTAAGGTGTACCTGTTAAGTCCCTTTATGCCTTACGTCTGGTAAAACTGTTATTGGTGTCACGGTCTGATAATTTAATATATATATACCAGCCACATAAAGAAACTGTGCATTGTCAAAATATTATCCCAGTTGATAAGTTACGATAACAATGTCAATGGTACATATAACTTTAATGGAGGGATCATGAGACCATAAGAAGTCGGGAGAATTTCAATTGAAAAGTCAATCACAATGACGTCACGAGTCCACAAGCGGGACAGGGGTCAAACGACAATGTCACATGCTCAATAACGGGTGAATGTCCACCATCGGCATTGAGAACAGCAGTGCAT